GTAACATGGGTCTGGCGTTGCTTCTAATGATGTATATCGTATCTGTACTCTCATGCTCCAACAGGGATCATTTGCTAGCGATTTATGACGGCCTTGGGCCTTACTTGGCCATTGTTTTTCTAATTAGCAGCATGTCCTGGTTCCATTGATACCTCTTTAACAAGAAAAAAACACACTTTCTACAGCGTGGCTATTGGTTAAGGATATGGCGCGGAGTTGACAGGGCTCTTTTTTGTTTTTAACACGAGCACTTATGATGATGCTTTTCCTGGGAAGGAGGTTCTTGCATCAATGAACTCTTGGCTAGCTAGCTAGGGATCAAACAGACGGTGTTCTTGACTGGGCAGACGTGGTTGGTTTACTGGGAGACCGAACGGGTCGGGCTTTTATACTCCCCTGGGGTGAGCCTATGTCTCGTAGCCTTCTCATGCTCTCATTTGACAACGAAGATTTGAAAATGAACAAGCCCCCGCCGCTTGTTCATCCAGTGAACGACCTGCTACCGCAAATGTTCTGGGCTCTGTCCAGCTTCTGATCCAGATGGCATTTGTACCCGCTTGTGAAGTCACCAGATCTCGACTGAAGCCAGCAGGAATGTGACGAGTGTCAAGTTCACTGACTCGAGCAGCTGGGCAATGAGAAGCTTGTTGATGATTGATGGTATGATGATATATGTAGAAGATTTGACAAGACTGACTAGTCAGCTCTCCGCGCCGTTGCGCGCGTGTGCGTTTGTAACACCCCAAAATATTGTTCGCAGAATAACGCCACTGAATGCTTTCGCCCGTGCAGATGTGACAAAAGAGATATCCGTCAAGATGATGATAAAAAAACGCTAGATGGAACAACAAAACCCGCTTCCTCGTCGACTCAAAAAGTAAATGGTATTTCCTCCGCCTCTATTCCCCGGGTCACAGATGTAGAACCTCGTCCTCCTGACTGCCTGCCCTCTTTTTTCATTCAAGTGTGTCCTCCTCGATGGCTTCCTTGGGCGGCTGTATGTTCTCATACCACCAGAAGTCCTCGCCCTCGCCGCCGTCTTCCTTGATCAGGTCGAGCATCACCTGGGCGTTGCGCTTGATGTCCACTGATCTCTCGACGATCTTGCGGTCCAGGATCATTGCCTCGGCGGTCGACAGCCAGAGCTTCTGCAGCACGGGCAGGTCCGGCAATAAGAGCCTGTACTGATCATGTTCGAGCCAATCCATAGGCATTCCAGCTGCGAGGCTTGTGTTGAAGACAAGGCTCGGCTGCGTCACCGTCGGCCTCCTCCCGCCCGCGTGGTCCAGCGAGCCGCGGTTCGGCAGTTCGGGTACATCGTCGGCCTGCGATTTTGCGGCATCTCGTACCTGCCAGGTTGACTTCCTCCGTCCCAAGCCCATTATGCCCCGCCTTGATTTCGTCTCTTTGCTGACTTCGGGGCTCCTCGGTGGCTCTCTCGCGTCTTGGACGGCGTTGTACCACGTATCCACAGCTCCTCTCCGCGTGTTGTAGCCTCGGACTTCCCAAAGCCTCAAGACCTGCCTCAGGCCGCCCAGACACAGCACCGCCGTGTGTACCTCATCGGCTGGTTTCTCTCGGAGGTAACCCCTGACCGTCCGTTCCACGCGACCGACGTACGATGGCGGCCGCAGACGCCGACAGAATGAAGCCACGACAAGCGGAAAGACCTGGTGGACTTGTAATAATGTCCGATCGTCGTACATGTTCATGATTTGGACTTCGATCGGGTTATGGGTGTAGGGCGTCCGTTCGACGCCGTGGCCGTGTTCCTGGACGTATCGTAGGTGTAGTTTGCGATAATTCTCAAAGAAGTGGAAAATGGTAAAAAGCAACGGTATTAGTCGTCGGTACATCCTTTCTCTTTGAGAGGCGAACGACGCTATTTGGTCCTTGGTTGTCTTCAAGAAGATTTCCTTGGTGCACCAGTCGCACATTAGTCCTGATAATTTAGCCGCAACATGTAGCCGATGCCACAAGCCGCATAGGTAGTGAAGAGTGTAGTCAGAGGGGCCCGATACGGGGTAGAGTCGCTTCGCATAAGCAGGTATCTCGTGCTCGAGCTGGCGCCGCACAATGGGGTACTCATTCAGTGTGACCATGCTGTGCCACGACTTCGATGCCAAGCGCAGATTGAGCACATCTGACAAGGGCAAGTAGGAAATGACCTGAATCTGCAACTCGTTGGGTAGGTTCAGAAAGAGCTGGTCGAAGGGTAGACTGGATCCGACGTCAGTAAATCGCGTATGACTAGAGCTTTGAGGGGAATACATCCGCACCTCCTAAGCCGGGTGGCAGCACTCTGCGCTATAGAGCTTGCTGAAACCTCGGTCACTATCGACTGCCGTCTGAATGTTGGCGCCTGTGCTTCGGGCGCGGAGGCGGCAGGCTTCGAAGATCGAAATCGCCCAAACAGACCCCGCTTCTCCTTCTCTCTTTCTTTCTCCTGTTTGATATGGTCTACATGTCTTGTTTGTGGGTCGTAACCTTGCTGCTCGGATCCTCGGATTGGTAGGATGAATCTGGAGGACGTTTCGACCACCGTACTGTCATTGTGGTGCTGTTGCGTAGGCTGCTGGTCCTTGGGAAGCTGATTTATCTTCTCAAAGTAGCGCTTGGACGCGAATTCGGTGATGTGTGGGGGGTCCATGGCTGGCTGTGGTGTGTGCGAGCAGTCGGCGTGTCGCGCCCCTGTCGCCTCTCAGGAACCGCCGTGGTTGCCTATGTCCGAACAAAGCTATCAACTCGAAATGTTGGCATATCAATCATGGTTGAAACATCGGGGTCGACGGTGATTCGAAACGAGTGGCTCGTCGGGTGTGCACAAGCGTGGGTCGCCTGGCAGGTCAGAATGATTTGCTTCGACTTGTCGAGGCGCCGGCGGGAGCAGCGATCAGGTCCAGGAATGCGTGGCAGTAGGTGGTCAATCCAGCAAAATACCGACGGCAACTTGTCTCGTCCGGGGCGATTGACAGGCGGAAGGAAGACAAGTCGTGGCCGGATACGTCGAGGTATTTCGTCGGCTTTTCTCGCGCAAGGAGCCACAAATTGCGGGAGGACACCCCGAGGGACGGTCGTGACGGAGGTTGACCGAACAGTGCGATAACGGCAGACGGTCCCGAACGGACGTACCCAGTGGTGTTCTGGGTCGAGATGAACTTGTTGGTTGAGCGAACCCAGTGGGTGATGATGCAGGGCGATTTGGCCGAGGGTTTGTGCTGAGATGCAGCGACGTTTTCTTGCGGGGGCGCGGTTACCAATTGGGGATGCGTCAATGGGCCCTGATAGAGAAACGGGGTCGAAAAGCCCCGAGACGCAGCCGGAGCGCGATGGATGGATACGAGTGCAATTTGCTGCTGATTTGTCGGGGGGTCGAGACGAAGTTGTTTCTGTTCCTGGGAAGTCTTGAGAGCGGAGAGAGGGAGCGGGTTCGGTTTGGCTACACAAGGAAAAGGGCAGCTGCCGGCAATAAGACTGCGGCCCAACGCAGTTAGATGGACGCAGGGCAGAGCGCAGCACAAGGACTGTGACTGGACTGCTGGATGGTGCGGTCGAACGAACCAGTTCGGCAGCAGTAGCAGCAGCAGCAGCAGCAGCGTCGTTAAGTGTGGGGGACGACGAGGCCGTGACACACTGGCCGGTGGAACAATCGTGATCGGGGCTGGGAATGCTGTTAGAGAGGTCGTCACAGGGAGAAAGACTGGAGATGGGAGTGGAGAGTGGTTTGGTTTGCAGGGCACAAGCACAGGGCGCCAAGAACAGCAGGAAAACGGCAGGTGAATGAATGAATGGGTCGAACTCGATATGGATCCGGATGGACCACGGCGTTTTGGCTCGGCGAAATAGTGGAGGGCCATCGGGCGAGAGTCCACTGATTCGAGCGGCACCCCAGAAGCTTCTTAGACTTCCACGGGAGTGGTCGGTGCTGGTAGCTGTGTACCTCGACTTGCACGGGCGACAAGGTGTTTCTGTGTGGCTGACCCGAGTGCCCGGCTAGCACGGCCTGTTGTCGACCCCCCTTGTTTCCCTGGGACTGGGGCTCCTCTGGTGTTTCTGTCGCCAATTCGGGCCTATCTGCTTGTGGTGAGATGAGCGGCCACCCAGAGGCCACGGCCCGCCAAGTTACCATGCTCAGAATACGGCCGAGATCTGCTCCGACGGATCTTCTTCGCCTGCGACAGGGCTGCATGGCCGGCTACATGGTGACGAGGGCGATAGCAACCATGGACTACTACCATCTTACACAGCACACTAATAACTCTCTGCCTCTGCAGTAGTCAAACATCATCGTCAACTCTCCATCTCCCAAAGAGATGCAACCAGGTCGCATAACTCAACTGTCCTGCTGCAGCAGGGTCGTGGCTTGACATCACAGCAGGGCCGCATGAAGCACGAAACGGAAAGTTGCAGCTGAGGCTCATTTAGCCGGGGCCAATGAAACAGAAATGCCCAGAACCGGTTGAAAGCCCAGGGTGTCTCGCTACCCCCGTGGAGCAAAGATGCGAGCAAAATGGCGAGCTCATCCCGAGTCCCTCTCACGATGCTTCTTCGGCACAGCGTTACCTCGCGTTACGTTACGCCTTCGCACAAATTCTTTTTCTGCAAGCTCCTGCGTCTTGTGTGCATTCGCTCAGAGACGTTACGGTACCACCGCCGCGGTGGCCCCGCCAAGTCATTGCTGCCGCTTTGCTTCTGGCTGGTGGAGCCATGCAGTAGAATGAACTACCTTTCCTTTGCCTCCGTTTGTCTTAGATGTGGTCTGGGGAACAGTCTCCCGATTCGCCGGTTCTGGCAGGCCCGTTGAATAAAGCAAAGGCGCTGTAGTACTATATGCACCTTGCTACTGGAGTGTTCGCCCTCAGCAAGACTCGCTAGAGCCAAACTTGTGGTGTCCCATGTGTGAGCGTGTAGTTGTGACGACTTCCCTGTATCAACGTCGATACTCTTCACCCGTGGACTGTGGGTCATGTACTGGCATTAATCCATCGGGTCATCACAGCCTCTCCTTAGCTCAGCTGGCAGAGCGGTAGACTGTAATAGTTGCACGATTATCTATAGGTCCTCGGTTCAAATCCGAGAGGGGAGACATTTCTTTTGCTCTTTGTTGCAACACCAGTCTGCACGCAGTTCGCTTGGAAACCTCCTGCCAATTGAGATATCCAGAGTTGCTTAGACGCCAAGTAGATTAACCAAGTGACGAGTGCACTTGTATTTTAAGCTCTCTAGACGAGCGAACTGTCTTAGACACAGTCCCAGTCAGACTGGTACCACACAAGCAAGGTTTGAGAGTATCGCCGTTCGCAATACCTTTTTGTGTCAATTGCGGCTTGTAATAAGATGCTTTTCTACGTGGCACGTTGTTAGCAGCTTACTTTGCCGGGAAGTGCACCTAAAACTGTATCACGCTGCCTCCGTAATTAACCCGGGAATACGTTGGATGGTGCCATTTTGGGTGCCATCGCGCCGAACGGTGGAGATTCTGATGTGATATCACTGTCGACCACTGTGCGGCTTGATTCGCCTGACCACATAGACGACCATGTTTGCCAGTCTTGTCGTTGCATCGAATTGAGATGAAGAGGTGTCCCCTTCTCGTGATAATTTGACACGACCCAGGTATTCGGTGGGCAAAACGAGAGCTTGTCTTGCAGCTGATCGAGCTCGGCCCTGCTGGTGGAGTGACAGGTTATCTTGACAGAACTGAAAGAGGGGGAGCCTAAAGGTGTGTGATGCAACCAACCCTGAAAAGATCTTCGGCAGTTGCTTGTTCACATGGGCGTGGGGTTGGCAGCTCGACACGATCCAGAACCCGGGTCCATTTCTCGAGAAAATCCAGGCGGGCCGGACGAGTCGCTGTCGTCGCCACCAGTACGCGACGACGGACGGACTAATTACCCATCCAGCCATCCAGCCAGCCATCCAAGCCTGGTGAGACCTCACGAACCTGGCCTCAAGCTTCAAGACCGCTGGCAACAGTCTGGAAGAATTTGGCGAGACCGACGCAGCGATAGCGCTTCTGGCCTGAAGAGCTGTGTTATTGAACACCGGCCGGATGTTCATCTGGAATTGTTGCCACCACTGCAAACATGCTCGCAAGCCCTGAGGATAACAAGTCGCAGCGCAATCTGGGGCCGGAGCTTTCGGGAAGCCAGAGTCAGTGTTCCGGGCAAGAGGACCCGCGCCCCGGCCCTTCTCCGGCGTCTTTCGTACATCTGAGATGCGCCACTGCTGATTGGCCACGTCTATCGGCACCCTTCCCTGGCGGTGGTCCACCGATTATCCTGACTTCCCGGCAGGAGGGACGTCAGAGATGGCCATGATCCTTCCGTGCCGTGGGTCGCCAACGACCGGCACGGTGGCCTGTTGCGAACGAACACGCCGCGTCCTGGGCAGTGGGCCTCCCCCGCGACAAGCGATGCCGAAGGACGGCCAGGGACACAGACGCGCAAGTGGTGTGGTATCACCAACCCCGGACGAGGATTCGCAGAAGCCCATTTGTCTGCAACGTCTGACATGACAGCTCAAAACTGGAGGCTCGATTAATCTGCGACTTGGCCTCGCAGCGGCTCGATCGATGTCTGCGCGTACCCTCATGCCGGCGTAGACCTGAGCCAGCTGGCCAGCCAGCCTTTACTGTAGGCGACTCGTACGGCACGTTACACCCTGCACGCCATTGCGTCGCAATGCTGACTCGGGCTGCGGTGTGCCGAAAGGACGGGCCGGCCGCCCATGGCTACTGCTACGCCCACGCGGTGCGGTGCAGTGCGGTGCAATGCAGTGTACAGCACCTCGTACTCGGGAACAGGACGCGAGTTGTTGGGGTGGTTCGTTTTCCGCACCTGGCCAGGCGATAGGAGGGATTGTCGTGGTCGGTCCCTGTTCGCGCGAGCTGTGAGACACCCAGGCCGGCTGGGCAGGCAAACAGTACACCACCATTACAGCGACGGGCACGGCATTGGAGGTCTAAAGCCTGCTGCTGCGACGACAGAGACGAGTACTGTGTGTACAACGGGAGCCTCGCAGATGTCGCAGGGGGACAGGTGATTGTCGAGGGACTGTCTCATGTTGCTTGCAGCCGTCGTCAGTCCACACCCTCCTATGGATGGAGTCACGCGCAGCAAGATGGACACAATTACGAGATGGCCTATGCGTCTGAGGTCAGCAGCACCTGTGAGGTGAAGTCACAGTCAGGGGACTTGGGGGGATGGAGACTGGGGAACCGGACCCTGTTCGCTGGACCCGATGGCCTCTGGCGGGCCCGGCGGGCCTGGAGGCCTGGGGGCAGGAGCTGGGGAAACAGGGACTTCTTGTGGGGAATGCGCAGGCCGTAAAAGTCCTTCCTTGCCTCTTCTTCCCGGGAGTGGGGGCTCCAAGACGGAGCGTCGCGGGAGACTGGAAAGCCCAGGTGCGCCGGGATCAACGGCGCCTGGCCTCCGTCCTCGACCTTGCCTCGGCTGCCTTTTAGGCCGGAAGAGAGAACGTAGCTTACCATTCGGTCGGCCATGGACGGAACCAAAGTTGCTATGAACTAGCAGCTGGGAAACATGGTGAAGTCCCCAAAAACACAGAGTTTTCGATGCCAGACCGTCTCGTCAGGCGTGCCTACAACTCCCCCGGCCACTCTCACTCTCTACGGTGGACAATGCAACATGACGCCCGGGACGCATCATGGCACAGTTGACACAATTAGAACATAGCATGGCCCATGTGCGTGCGCGTGTCCCAAACAAAGCTGGAGTTACCATTCGCTGCTATACGAAGCCGCCGTGCTCACCTCCGGGGATCTAGAAGGAGCTCACGAGCTCGCACCAGAGATCCCGCGCATCCTGCCGAGGCCGTCTATGCAACCGACTCCTGTATTCGTTTCACGTACAGGCGCTACTCGTCAGGATGTGTCGTTGGTGTATACAGTGACAGGCAGCGACTGAGTGCACCTGGAAAGAAGATGCCCGATCTACCTAGGTATCAGGGCCAGCAGAGCTCCCTGATCCCGGGGGTCCACGTGTAACCTGGGGCTGCACTGCACCTCGCAATTTATAGTGCGACTGCTTCCTGGAGGACAGCCTTCCACGGGATAAGCTCATAAGTCTTTTTAATGAATACCGCGCGGCATGAACCAGTCGGGTCCGTGTCGTGCCGGTCCCTTGCTGCATCCTGGAGCGTTTGCATGTAGCCTTGCGAGCCTTCCTCCTTCCATTGGGCTGTACTGACTGCAGTCAGCCTCAGATCGGCAATATGTATCCTACTACATATACCACTTTACATATATCATACTTGTCGTTTTCCATCTCGTCTGAAGTTACCCTGAGACACCCTTGAGCGACGCACTAGAGCACGGGTCGGGTCGGGTCTGACCCGTTCCTGCAAGCTGTGGGAGGACGAACTGTTAGCGGTCAGCTTCGCTGACCGGGGGCTGTGGGTGCAGTCAGCCGTTGGTGGTGCCTTCTGAGACTGAGAAAAAGGAACAAGAAAAAAGATTCTCGAAGGCGAGAGGAGGATTCAGCATCTGGCCGCCAGGTAGTCTAGCAGAAACTGACTAGGTCTGCTGTACTCCGTGCCATGCAGAGTGCCGTCTGTCAGTCTGTGTACTCAGTAGGCGGCTTGTGGATGCAGGCAACCGCAGCTAGTGTACTTGTGGTGTGTACGCGGCACAGTCTGGCACTGTATGCATCCCGTCCATCTGTGCGTGCTGTCACTGTGCTGTGCCTGTCCAACACACACCTCGGCCCTCGTGGGATGGGCTGCTATTTTTAGGTCCCCCATCCGTCTACAGTAGCGCGGCGCCCAGTCCCAACACAGCGGATATGACGGGACGCCACACGTTCTTATTCGTGGTCTGGTTCGAGCCGCTCTGCGATTCGCTGCCCACCTGCTGTTCGAGGGTTTTGAGGTTTGCTTCCGTCCCTTTCTTTCTTTTGCGGGGTTGCGGACTCTTTCTCGCTGTGCTCTCGCCTCTTCCACACCACGTCGAGTCATCAGAGGCGAACAGAGGCCACCCTCGACTCGAGCATTGCTTCTTGCCGCAGGCTGTCTCAGAGCTCACAGCTAGCAGCGAGCAGCGAGCAGCGAGCTGCACGCTGCGACGGGGAGCTCAACACCCCTTGGCTTCCGACGTCTTGCCCTGGCTTGGTATTCATGTATTCTAGACCTGGGCTGCCTGCCCAGATGGACCGCATGTGCTAGGCCAGACAGGCTGCGGCCACTCTGTCGGTATAAGGGTGCTCCCATCTTACCGAAGCTGCAATATAGGGTCTCTCCACCCAGCTGCGACGAGGGCCCGGACGTCGTCTCGATGCTCCATCGCCGCCGCCGCACCGCGCCTCGGTAGTACCATGCGTTAGTACACAGTACATCTGTGCCTGCACTGGGCTCTGCATAGGAATCCTGTGCTGGCCCACGAGCCGGTTATGCCCATCGCGGTCCCATCCCGTCCTGTCCTGTCCTGTGATATGTCTTGTGATGTCCTGATCCTCCAGCTCCTGGCATTGTCCACTTTATATTAAAATTGACATCCGGACCACAGCCCGGGGCCTGCCCGGGCCTGCATTTACCCCTTCCCCTATTTGATCCCGTTCCCGCCACTTGAATAATACAAGTACATGTTACCAAGACTTTGCCCTAGGCGCATCATCCTCATGCATATGTCGCCGAGCTACCCAGGCTACCAGCATCTACACACCAGTGAGGTGGCGGCCCTGCGTTTGTTGGTTACAAGTCGAGCCCCAGAGCCCCGCCTCAGTCATCCACCTCCGGGATTCCAGCCCCAGCGCGCATCACCTTAAGTATTACGTCTGCTTCCCTCTCCCGTGGGACTGCAGCCTGCTCGTGTGGTTGCCGTGCCGTGTGCCCTGCCTTCGAGTGTGTGCCATCCTCCAACATCTCTTGCCTGCCTCAACAACCTTTTCTCGCAACACACATTATACATCCGGCCTACCACCCTCCGCGACACAACCACCACCGATAATTAACCACCCCCCCTGTTGCCAGCCGCGCGCCTACCTACAAGCGCCCCAGGGTGACCCCACGCGCACAAGCCCTCTCGAAAAAAAATAAAATAAAAAAGGGAACCATGGCGAGCCCGGAGCA